GCTGTGGGTCTGTGGCAACTCTTTAGTGATGTCCAGTTTAAGATGAGTCATAAGAGGACCATGCTTTTCACCAATGAAGACAACCCCCACGGCAATGACAGTGCCAAAGCCAGCGAGGCCAGGACCAAAGCCAGTGACCTCCCAGATACAGGCATCTCCCTTGACTTGATGCACCTGCAGAAACCTGGGGGCTTTGACATATCCTTGTTCTACAGAGATATTATCAGCATAGCAGAGGATGAGGACCTCAGGGTTCACTTTGAGGAATCCAGCAACCTAGAAGACCTGTTGTGGAAGGTTCGCGCCAAGGAGACCAGGAAGTGAGCACTTAGCAGATTAAAGTTCAACAAAGATATAGTGATCTCTGTTGGCATTTATAACCTGGTCCAGAAGGCTCTCAGGCCTTCTCCAATAAAACTCTATCGGGAAACAAACGAACCAGTGAAAACCAAGGCCCAGACATTTAACACAAGCACAGGCGGTTTGCTTCTGCCTAGCGGTACCAAGAGGTCACAGATCTATGGGAGTCGTCAGATTGTACTGGAGGAAGGGGAAACAGAAGAGCTAAAATGATTTGATGATCCAGGTTTGATGCTCAGGGGCTTCAAGCCCTTGGTAATGTTGAATAAGCGCCATTACTTGAGACCCTCCCTGTTCGTGTACCCAGAGGAGTCGCTGGTGATTGGGAGCTCAACCCTGTTCAGTGCTCTGCTCATCAAGTGTCTGGAGAAGGAGGCTGCAGCATTGTGCAGATATACACCCCGGAGGAACATCCCCCCTTATTTTGTGGCTTTGGTGCCACAGGATGAGGAGTTGGATGACCAGAAAATTCAGGTCACTCCTCCAGGCTTTCAGCTGGTCTTTTTACCATTTGCTGATGATAAAAGGAAGATGCCCTTTACTGAAAAAATCATGGCAACTCCAGAGCAGGTGGACAAGATGAAGGCTATTGTTGAGAAGGAAGTGACAGCTTTGAGAAGCCCGTGCTGCAGCAGCACTTCAGGAACCTGGAGGCCTTGGCCTTGGATTTGATGGAGCCTGAACAAGCAGTGGACCTGACATTACCCAAGGTTAGAGCAATGAATAAAAGACTGGGATCCCTGGTGGATGAATTTAAGGAGCTTGTTTACCCACCAGATTACAATCCTGAAGGGAAACTTACCAAGAGAAAACACGATAATGAAGGTTCCAGAAGCAAAAGGCCCGAGGTGGAGTATTCAGAAGAAGAGCTGAAGACCCACATCAGCAAGGGCACGCTGGGCAAGTTCACTGTGCCCGTGCTGAAAGAGGCTTGCCAGGCATACGGGCTGAAGAGTGGGCTGAAAAGCAGGAGCTGCTGGAAGCCCTCACCAAGCACTTCCAGGACTGACCGGAGGCCGCGCACCCAGCCGTCCTTCCACAGTGTGGCCAGGCTGCCTGGCCTTGTTCTCAGCCAGTTCAAATGTGTTTCTCCTGAGCTAGAAAGAGTCTACCCGACAGAAGTCGAGGGACTTTATGTTTTTGAGGCTTTCTATTGCCGTGGTGATGGTGTAGCCCTCCCACTTTGCTGTTCCTTACTTTACTGCCTGAATAAAGAGCCCTAAGTTTGTACTAGGAAAAAAAAAAAAAAACTAGTTTTTTTTTTTAAAAAGCGCCTTAGAACAGTGTCTCTCACATAATAAGTGCAAATTGTTCATTTTTATTACAGGAGGAAGAAACTCTCCTCAACATGAAAATGGAGAAAGCAACTACATGTCAACTAAAATTATCCAAAAGATCATTGTATGTAAAGTAGTTGCTGAATGTACATGAAATGTTTAGAAATAGAAAAAAAAAAAAAGAGAGAGACCAGAAACGGTGGCTGATGCTTGTAATCACTTTGGGAGGCAAAGGCGGGAGGATCGCTTGAGGCCAAGGCCAGCCTGGTCAACACAGAGAGACCTCATCTTTATTTAAAAATTAAAAAATTCAGCCAGGTGTGGTGGCTCACGCCTGTAATCTTAGCACTTCAGGACGCTGAGGCGGGTAGATCATGAGGTCAAGAAATCAAGACCATCTTGGCCAACATGGTGAAACTCCCATCTCTACTAAAAATACAAAAAAATTAGCTGGGTATGGTGGTGTGCACCTGTAGTCCCAGCTACTTGGGAAGCTGAAGTAGGAGAGCCACTTGAACCAGGAGGTGGAGGTTGCAGTGAGCCAAGATCATGCCACTGCACTCCAGCCTGGTGACAGAGCAAGACTCTGTCTCAAAAAGAAAATAATATTAATTTAAAAATTAGCTAGGCATGGTGGCACACACCTGTAGTCCCAGCTACTCCAGAGGCTGAGGTGTGAGGATTGCTTGAGTCCAGGAGTTGAAGGGTGCAGTGAGCTAGGATCGTGCCTGTGAATAGCCACCGCACTCTAGCCTCAGTGGCAAAGTAAGACCCTGTCTTAAAAAAAAAAAAAAAAGAGAGAGAGAAAAGAAAGGAAAGAAATAACAAGAAAAAAAGAGTTTTAAGAAGCATTCCATTTTAAAACTGCAGATAAAGAACACAAAGGCCAAACTGCTAGAAATGCGGGGTGGGGGGAAGCTTAGTTCTTGGGATGAGAGATGGAGGAGCCCTGAACACCGTGAAACTCTTCTGGTTTTGGAAACAATGGTGGGGAAAGCAGGTAGGAAAAGAATTCTCCGACAGCTTGCTTCAAACATTATGTCCATTTAAAACTCAAAAATAAAGTGAAAGTGATGCAATTCTGTGATAGCTTCATGTGAATGGGTTTTCCAGGAGCTGAACAATTTTATAACCCCTGAGAGGGTGTTAGCTATTTGGACAGAGAGGCTGTGGAGAATCAAACTGCACTGCTCCTAGGAGCTGGGAAGATTCCCTACCAGCGCAGTCACGGCTAACACATTTGAAAGGGTTTAGAAAGGACCAACGCTTGAAAGACAGATATGATTTCAGTAGGCGAGTCAGTCCTGATGCAGAAGTCCCCGCTAGCAGAGGCCAGAAGGCATTAGCGGGAACTGGGGTGGCCTGAAGGCAGGAACCAGAATGTGGGACTGGGACGCATCTCATTCTCTTCACTCCCTCTCCCACGGGTAAAGAGAAGTCAGATCCACACGTCTCTCATTTGGAACCATTACAGAGGATGTGCTCACACACCAAACACTGGTTTCTGGGTCCTTCTTGGCAGTTTTCACCGCTACATCAGGATCTGGATGCACCCTCGAATAGCAAAGCCCCACAGAAGCTCCCCACCTTCCTCCCAGCACTCCACACTCAGTTCCATCCCTACACAACCTTACCTTGAAAGCTTCAGAAATCTTTTTAAAATGCCTTATCTCGACAAACGACTGATTTTTCTTATAGCTTTAAGCTACTTCTACATAGTGTATACATCTAATTCTCCTACAACTCATGTGACTGACACACTGGAATTCAGTTTTTGTTTTGTTTTGAGACGAAGTCTTGCTCTTGTCACCCAGGCTAGAGTGCAATGGCGCAATCTCAGCTCACTGCAACCTCCGTCTCCCGGGTTCAAATGATTCTCCTGCTTCAGCCTCCCAGGTAGCTGGGATTACAGGCACCTGCCAGCATGCCTGGCTAATTTTTGTATTTTTTTAGTAGAGACGGAGTTTCACCATGTTGGCCAAGCTGGTCTTGAACTCCTGACCTTGTGATCCGCCCACCTCGGCCTCTCAAAGTGCTGGGATTACAGGTGTGAGCCACCGTGACTGACTTAGAATTCAGTATTTTATAGCAGGCAACACCAGCCAGGCTGCGGCTCAGCAATTCGTATCAGTCAAACACCAGTACATTGAACAGCTATTTAATTTGTCATCAGTGTTGGCGGGGCTTTCAGCTCCTCGGTGGCATAAGGCATTGCCCCCAAATGTTTTCTCATCAGCAACTCGGGTATCCTGAAAACAAACCAAGCATCTGTTGTCCTTCCTCTTTTTTTTTTTTTTTTGTTTGTTTGTTTGTTTGTTTTTTGTTTTTTAAAGACAAGCTTTCACCATGTTGGTCAGGCTGGTCTTGAACTCCTGACCCCAGACGATCCGCCCGCCTTGGCCTCCAAAGTGCTTGGATTACAGGCATGAGCCACCACACCCGGCATCTGTTGTCCTTTCTCTACACATTCAACAAACCCCATCAGGAAGCTTAGCCACCAGCCTAAAGAAAGGAGTGGATGCAAACGTTAAAACCAACGTCTGGGGCCAGGCATGGTGGCTCACGCCTGTAATCTAAGCACTTTGGAGGCCAAGGCGGGCGGATCGCCTGAGGTTGGGAGTTCAAGACCAGCCTGACCAACATGGTGACACCGTGTCTTAAAAAAAAAAAAAACCAACGTCTGCAAACCAGAGGCTGCTTTGTTTCAGAGCCAAGAGGAGACGACAGCGAACGTGTTATCACAGAGCCTGTGTGAGCGCAGCCGTCTGAGCTCCATTCTAGGCTGATTTCATTTTGTATTATTTACCCTGTCATTTTTTCTCACTAAGTCAGAAAATAATAGAGCTCATCATGAAACAATTAAGCCCTATAATAAAAGAGATTTTTGCCGTATTAATTACAGGAGATATTACGAGGGGAAAGAAAAACCTGCCTCTGTAGAAAATACAAGATTTCCTGCCCTGCTAAGAACACACAGACGAAATGCAGTAGAGAATTCAAACTCACGTGGAAGGGGGGAGCACAAGCCACAAATCACAGCAAAGTCATGATTACAAATGAACCCAAAATTAACAGGACAAACATGCTCAATGCATTCAGAGAATTAAAGGCACAATTCTCAAATCATTCACTTAGCCATGCTAGAGGAAGAAGCCTCCTCTCCAACAGACAACATAAAGCAACGGGGTGCCCATCAAGCAAGGACCAAACAATCGTAAGGCTTTTAACAGTTCTGATTTAAAGTGACTTAAATCAGAATGTTCCAAAGATCATCGTCCAGAAATTTTAGCCATTCATTCACATCGCCATGAAACAAGCACTTAAAAAAATAACCAAAAGAAACTAAACACATAGATGATGTACCTGGGTCAATGAGAACTTCCTGTGCCCCTGGAAGAAAGAACAGATGATGGTATTTTATTTGGAAAACAAAACTGCTTTTAAAAATAACTACTAAAACACATTTCATAATTCAAATAGCCTTCACAACAATCTGAGAAACTGGTAACTGATCAGAAAAGCAATTCCAAGAAACAATGTGTTACAAGTTTAGTGCCTTTTTGCTTCAGACAGAAAAAGAGAAAAGAAAAGCTACTATTACTCATACCCTGAACAAATTGTTAAGTGCCTCCTCACCTCTCTCCCTTCCCACTTTCTATGTTCATGCTCCCACCTCTTCTTTTTTTTTTTTTTTTTTTTGAGAAAGGAGTCTTGCTCTGTTGCCCAGCCTGGAGTGCGGCGATTCTCCTGCCTCAGCCTCCTGAGTAGCTGGGATTACAGGCATGTGCCACCATGACCAGCTAATTTTTTTTTTTTTTTTCAGTAGAGATGAAGTTTCACCATGTTGGCCAGGCTGTTCTTAAACTCCTGACCTCAGGCAATCCGCCCACCTCAGCCTCCCAAAGTGCTGCGATTACAGGCGTGAGCCACCGCGCCCAGCCTCCCAGCTCTTCTTAAACAAGCTCTATGGAATTTTTCACAACCCCCCTAAAATATTAATAACCCTCTCTCTCTCTCTCTCTCTCTCTCTCTCTCTCTCTCTGTCACACACACACACACACACACACACACACACACAATTACTGGACACTTCAAGTTAAAGATTTCTAACTTTTAGAAGCTTGCTTTGTAGTTAGTTTAAAATACAAAACCATTTTCATTACTACAAAGAAAATTTGAAAGCCTTGGTCGTCTGCTAAACTATAAAAATATCTGCGTGATCCAATTAAACTTCTCTATAGACCGTAATTTCCCATCATGGCAAAACACACCCCAAGAGGTACTGGTTCCAAGAGTCATGTTTATCATTAGCTATTTTCATTTCTAAACATGTTAAGAAGATTCAAAAAGGTGTGTCTCAATAATATATTCTTATGGAAATAGCACATTTATTCAATTGTCTACACAGAGACAAGGCCCCATGATTACGGTGGTATTTTAGAGTTATTTTGTATATACCCATCTCTGCTTGTAAATGCAGACTAAAAATTACTGCAATCTTGAAGCCACCATTAAAATAAAAAACAGGTGTTTTCCATTGAGTAACACCTTTATGCCAAGCACGATGCTTGACAAATACCATATATGACCTTCACAGCAACCCTACAAAATAAACAGATATTAACCCTCACTGCATATGGCGAGACTGAAACCCAGAGGAGACAAGGGAAGCCCGCCATCACACACACCATGACACCAGGTCCCAGGTCTGCACTGAGCAGACACAAAGCTGCACGGAACCCTGAGGAAGTCTGGATTTCCAGATAATCCTACAAACATTCTGTTCTCTGAAGAACCTGGTCAAATATAGTATACTTCACCATGTCTTTTAAATAGGGGATATGAATGAAACTTCTGATGCCTCAGAGTCATTGTCACAATCATCAGTCATTTGATTATTAGTATCATCAGCCTCTAGTGGACTGATGTCACATTAACCAAACTCATAAGAGACTGATGTAGGAAAGCTGGAGGTTTAACTACTAATGTAATAGGAGACACAAAATTATCAATCAGACCAAAATATCAGGCAGGATTCAACAATCAGCACATTTTCTCTTCAAGGCCAAATCACAGGCAGGAGGTAAGCAGAAAGCAACTCCACACGTCTCATTCGGGACCCTTGCAGAGGATGCCCTCACATACCAAATGCTGGTTTCCAGGCCCTTTCCTAGTGGTTCTCACCTGTGCAGCAGGATCCTAACACCTGAATAGCAAAGCCCCACACAATCGCCCCTGCCTGTAAAATGAAGAGAGGGGGCCAGTGCTTCAGTTTGTTCCTGTTCTAAGATTAGCTTCTGTGAGCCTCTGTCTTTTCTTTATATTTAGGGGCATTAAAGTGTTCAGATCGGGTACTGAATGCCACTCCCTTCCCTGAAGCAGAATTCAGTAGTTGTATTTTGTTGAAATACAAATCAAGTTCATCTAGAAAACTCCATTTTCTCTGAGCAGGAGTTTTCTAGATGAATCTGATGGACCAAAGTTCTGTTACAAGGAGAGACCCGCTGCCTACACAAATGATTAATGCAAACTGCAGTGCACACTCTGTGGCCAGTGGCCAGGACACAACTGCCACTGCTGCATCACGCTCTCTGTCCCACCCTTTCCATGCTGGCCAAACCCTGACTGATGTATAGGTGTACACATGGAACTATAGATATGCTGACACCTCTAAACACCTGAAGCCAGTCTACTGGGGCTCAGTGAGACTGCCAGGATGTCTTGTTTGAGATGGAGTCTCGCTTTGTCGCCCAGGCTGAAGTGCAGTGGTGCCATCTCAGCTCAATGCAACCTCCGCCTCCCAGGTTCAAGCAGTTCTTCTGCCTCAGCCTCCCAAGTAGCTGGGACTACAAGTGACCACTACCATGTCCAGCTAATTTTTTTTTTTTTTTGCATTTTTAGCAGAGATAGGGTTTCACCATATTAGCCAGGCTGTCTCGAAGTCCTGACCTCGTAATCTGCTCACCTTGGCCTCCCAAAGTGCTGGGATTACAGGTACGAGCCACCACACCGGCCTACTAGCTCCATAACCTTGGTCAAGTTCCTTAACCTCTCAATGCCTCAGTTTCCATGTCTGTAACCACCTTATCTGGTTGTTGTGAAAATTAAAGGGTTAAACTGGTTTATGTAAAATGTGTGTAGAGGCAGAGGCAGGTGGATCGCTTGAGGTCAAGAGTTTGAGACCAGCCTGGCCAACATGGTTGAACTCCGTCTCCACTAAAAATACAAAAATTTGCTGGGTATGGTGGTAGGCACCTGTAATCCCAGCTACTCAGGAAGCTGAGGCATGAGAATCACCTGAGCCCAGGAGGCAGAGGCTGCAGGGAGCCGAGATCTCACCATTGCACTCCAGCCTGGGTGACAGAGCGACTCCATCTCCAAAAAATAAAAATAAGGGCCAAGCACAGTGGCTCATGCCTGTAATCCCAGCACTTTGGGAGGCTGAGGCCGGTGGATGATGAGATCAGGAGATTGAGACCATCCTGGCCAACATGGTAAAATCACATCTCTACTAAAAATACATAAAAACAAAAAAATTAGCCGGGCATGGTGGCATGCGCCTGTAGTCCCAGCTACTAAGGAGGCTGAGGCAGGGGAATCACTTGAACCAGGAGGCAAAGGTTGCAGTGAGCAGAGATCACATCACTGCACTTCAGTCTGGCAACAGAGTGAGACTCTGTCTCAAAAATAAATGCATAAATAAATAAATAATAAAAATAAAAATAAATAAAATATGTGTAGCACATTTTAAGTATTCAACAAATGTTACCAGCCTGGTATGGTGGGTCATGCCTGTAATTCCAGCTCTTTGGGAGGCCAAGGTAGGCAGATCATTTGAGGTCAGGATGATCTCAAACACCTGAGAACAGCCTGGGCAACACGGTGAAACCCCGTCTCTACTAAAAATACAAAAAATTAGCCGGGTGTGGTGGCAGGCTCCTGTAATCCATGCTACTTGGGAGGCTGAATCGGGAGAATCACTTGAACCTGGGAGGCGGAGGTTGCAGTGAGCTGAGATCGTGCCACTACACTCCAGCTGTGGTGACAGAGTGAGACCTTGTCCTCTCGTCCAAAAAAAATGAAAATGTTATCTGTGACAGTGATTTTACAAATCTCCCTTCTAATCACCCTTTGTACTTCCTTGCTAGTCTAAATCGCAAAGGCTATCTTTCTCTGTTAACAAGAGAAAAACTGTTACCCCTGACCTGTTTAAACTGAGGGGAAAGAGAGCACTTGCTCCCGGTCCTCTGGTTTCCATAATAAAGGCTTTGTCCTAAGCAACACACACCTCTTGCCTACCCCATTCCTCCCCCACCCAAGTGAGGTGAGTTGTGAGATGAGTGAGTTTGGAACACAAGCTGAGCACGTGAACTCCTCTTTCACTCTTGGGTGCTACCCTTGGCAAGTGTACAGGATACTGTGCTCCGCCATGCCTATGTCTGACAGGGGGGAGTCCCTCAAAGGAAGGCCCGCTGTGGCCTGCAGCCACCAGATCTTGGATACAGTAGTACGATGCCCATTTTTATACATCGTTCAAGTTCATGGAAAATCTGGGGTTGTTTTTTGTTTTTTTTTGAGACAAGGTCTTGCTCTGTTGCCCAGGCTGGAGTGCAGTGGCGAGATCTCAGCTCACTGCAACCTCTGCCTCCTGGGCTCAAGCGATCCTCCCACCTCAGCCTCTTGAGCAGCTGGGACTATAGGCATGCGCCACCATACCTGGCTAATTTTTTGTGTGTTTTTTATAGAGACAGGATTTCACCATGTTGCCCAGGCTGGTCTCAGACACCTGGGCTCAAGCGATCCACCAGCTGTGGCCTCCCAAAGTGCTAGGATTACAGGTGTGACCCACCTCGCCCGGCAGTGAATGTGGTTTCATCACTAATAAGGATGACATTTTGATTCTCTACCTGCTTACTCTTGTCCCATCTCTTAATTGGTTGTTGAAGACAACAGGAGTGCTGGGCCAGGCTCAGTGGCTCACACCTGTAATCCCAACACTTTGGGAGGCCGAGGCAGGTGGATCACAAGGTCAGGAGTTCGAGACCAGCCTGGCCAACATGGTTGAACTCCATCTCTACTAAAAATACAAAAATCTGCTGGGTGTGGTGGTAGGCACATGTAATCCCAGCTACTCGGGAGGTTGAGGCAGGAGAATTGCTTGAACCCAGGAGGTAGAGGTTGCAGTGAGCCGAGATCACACCACTGCACACCAGCCTGGGTAATACAGCAAGACTCAGTCTCCAAAAAAAAAAAAAAAAAAAAAGAAAACAGGAGTGTTATTATTGGGCCCCTTTAAGCCCCAACATTTATTATTCCACAATAATAAATGTGGCTTAGGTAGGGTCAAGATGCCTGTATAACAGCCATGTCTCTAACCCTGCAGCTAAATT